GGCAGGAGGAGGGGAGAACAGGAGGAAGGAGGAGAGGAGAACAGGCGGAAGGAGGAGGGGAGAACAGGCGGAAGGAGGAGGGGAGAACAGGCGGAAGGAGGAGGGGAGAACAGGCGGAAGGAGGAGGGGAGAACAGGCGGAAGGAGGAGGGGAGAACAGTGGCAGAAGGAGGAGGGGAGAACAGGCGGAAGGAGGAGGGGAGAACAGGCGGAAGGAGGAGGGGAGAACAGAGGCGGAAGGAGGAGGGGAGAACAGGCGGAAGGAGGAGGATATATAGTTGTATACCGAGCTAACGTCGAGTCCAGTCATGCTCTTCGCGATGGTAGGGAGCTGGTTAACGATATTGATGACTTCTCCTGTAAGCTTAGACGCTCCGACATCACTGTTACCACTGGACACCATCACTATACGATTGGTCTTTTTCAGCGGCTTCGTAACATTGGCTATGATCTGCGTATAGAGGGAGTTTATGCGTGATTACGGAAACATACGTGTGACAACGGCGAAACATTTGCGACGGTTCCCACCGCATTATATTATTGCAGTAACTGATTATGGTGTCATAGTTATAATACTATAGTTAAATATAATATAGTTATATTATTATAGCTATATATTATAATTATAGTTATGTTATTTTATAATACTAACGACAGGCCTCTCGCAAATAGACAGATACTTCACGATCTATCGATATAATCAGGAGTATATAATAGAAGAACAATAGAAGAATAATAGAATAATAGAAGAATAATAAGAATAATAAGAATAATAGAAATAATAAATAATAGAAAAATAAATAGAAAAATAATAGAAGAATAATAGAAGAATAATAGAATCTTCTATTATATACTCCTGATATAATGTCTATAAGAATTCAGTATATTCGTCCCCGTACACACGTAGTGTCGTGGATTCTTGTGAATACTAATTCTCTATGGGGGCTGCAGTTTTCTTTCTAATCTTTATACTTAATACTCTAATCTTTATACTTCTAATCTAATCTTATAATAATTCTCCGTGACCAAAGCGATCACTTACAGGCTATGTGATTGTAGACGTTACAATCCCGTTCTAGTATATATATATGTATATATATATATATATATATATATCAGTGTATATACCTCGGGTAGTATGTCAAGCACCATGTCCACCATGGCAGCTTCTTTGTACTCCAGCCACGCATCGGCTTTCTTCGCCATCTGTTCTGCCTCCGCCTTCGCCTTGGCTTCTATTGCAAAGGCCTCAGCTTCTCCTTTCACCTAAGCAACAAGAGCTTTTGTATATACATAATATGCGCTTGTTTGTGTATGCTTGCTGGCGGTGTGCGTACGGTTTTTGCATTGCGTACACGTAAATTCATACCATCATTTCGTAACGTCATTTTTTATGTCGAGTCGTTGGGCGGGAAACGTTATGCGATTGAGAAAGCACTCTCTCCCTCTCTGTCTGTCTGTCTCTCTCCCCCTCTCTCTCGATATGTATAATATATATA